CACATTGTGAAAGGAACTCGACAGTAGGATCTACTGTATTACTTCTGGCCGACTCTGTTTATGAGTCACACGTGGGTTTACACGAGTGAATCATACCCCCTGGTGGCCAGTTCTGGCACGGCGCCTTGGAGGCCTTTTCACAGAGAGGCCAAGATTTGGCAGATGGGTTTGGAAAAAAGTCTATAAACCCCCCAGAAAACAAGGCTCTTCCCGCCACGGCACCAGAAACCCCCCCCCTCAACACACACACACACACACACGCAAAGGGAGAGAGGGAGGAAATCCCTCCCTCCACCCACTCACCCCACCTCCCTGCACAGGATCCCCAGCCTGGGATCTGGTCGGGAGGGGGATCTGGTCGGCCCTTCCCTCTCCTGGATCCAGAGCCACTGAACCAAGGGCTTCTCGAGGGGGAGGGGGATCCAGAAGGGGCTCAGGAGGGCAGGCCAGTCATGGGCAGGAGCCCCATCGCAGCCAGCTGACCCCTACAGCACAATTTCTGGGACCCCTCATACCTTTTCCAAGCCTACACAAAAGGGGGGGGGATAAGGCAGGGGTGTTGTATAGAGGAAGGAGCAGTTGGGAGAAAGTGAAAGAGCACAGGGGGTAAGAGCTCCCTCTTCCCCCCCCATCCCTCCCCAATGCAGCCTTCAGGATCTGGGGAATGAGGGGGCATCTCCTTGCACAAAAGCCGAGGAGGAGCCTTAGGTTAGGCATCCTTTAGTCTCGAAAGACTATGGTGTCGTGCTCTGTATGGAGGACTTGGAACAGCGTCTAGTGTGGCTGAAGAGGCCAATTCGAGAGTGGCAATCTCTTCCACACTGAAGACAAATCCAATCTGTCCCCTGTCCAGCTCCCTGGTTTTGCTGCTTTTGTGACTTCCTCTTTGCCTCGGCCTGCTGGACAAGGGTCTCTTCAAATTGGGAGAGGCCGTGAAGCACTGCCTGCCTCCAGGCTGAACGGTCAGATGTCAGGGTTTCCCATCTGTTGAGGTCTATTCCTAAGGCCTTCAGATCCCGCTTGCAGATATCCTTGTATCGCAGCTGTGGTCTCCCTCTGGGGCGATTTCCCTGCACTAATTCTCCATACAGGAGATCCTTTGGAATCCGACCATCAGCCATTCTCACGACGTGCCCAAGCCAACGTAGACGTCGCTGTTTCAGTAATGTATACATGCTGAATATTCCAGCTCGTTCTAGGAGTACTCTGTTTGGAACTTTGTCCTGCCAGGTGATGCCAAAAATCTGTTGGAGGCAACACGTATGGAATGTGTTCAGCTTCCTCTCCTGCCATGCACAAAGAGTACAGGAGTGTGCTCAGGACACAGGCTGTATAGATCTGGGGGGGAGTGTCTTTTGTTTCTTAGTATTTGCAACCCCTTAGCCCCCCCTCTTGTTCCGGTCCTGCACCCCACCCCACCCCAATTGCTCACCTCCTTGCTGGTCCTTTGGCGGGAAACTCACGAGGAAGCCCCTCCCATCCCGACCTTTGGGGGAGGGATCCTAGAGGTGTGGGGGCAGGAGGAGGCCGGACTCCCACCTTCCCACCTCCGGTTCCGCCTCGACCCACCCCCTGGGAGCGGCTCATTTTCCCCCTTTGAGAGCTCTCGGTTTTTCCTGTTTTCCAGAATGGAAAGATTGGCACTGGGGACCAACTGGATGCAGTGTGCAGCATATGGTCTGAGCACTGACAGGCTGACCCCCACCAGCCCTTAATCCTCTGCAGAAATGCTGGCAGCACTCTTACGTTGGTCTCCCCAAAACCAACCTCTGGATAGGAGACTGAACATGGGCACTCAACTTCATTGGTCGACCACAGCAAGGCCTGTTCTGAGTGGAAACGGCACAGTAGTCCCAGGATGTAAAATGGGTATCAATATTGATACCCATGGGCTTATCTTTGAATAAAGTATTGATAAACATTTTACATCCTGGAACGTCCGTCTCTTCTTGCTTCACAGATTCAAGGAAGGTACTTGTCCCTTTTCCCCCTGTTCTGAGTGGAAGCTGTCCTGTTAAACCGCCGTATGGTCTTGGCCACCATGCTGCAGCTCAGTTTCAGGGTTTTGGCAATCTTCTTATAGCCTAGGCCATCTTTTATGGAGAGCAACATTTCGTTTTTTCAGATCCTCAGATACTTCATTACCATGCGGTGTCATTAGTTCTGCAGAATAGCAATTTCCAACCACCAAGATGGCCTCCCACCCTAAAGCTTCTTTCACTGCTGTTAAAGAAGATGCTCTTCTTTAAGATCCTCTTCATGCTCTGCCCTTTAATTTCACTTTCCGGTTCCTGCCACAAAAGGTAACCTGGAAGTACAATCCTATCTTTTTCAGTAAGCCTGGTTTCCTACAGCACAATTCCGATAGCAAACCTGGGAAGTCCTCCTCATGGAAGGGGAGCTGGGAGTCCCTGAAGGAACGAGCAAAACACCCCCCCCAAAAAAAAACAGAAATCATTTTCCCAGTATAGTCTAACATTTGCTGTCTAAGTACTAAACTGATCAAGTTGTCAAGTCCAACTTCCAAAAACGATAACCAGCGCCTATATACTCCCGTTAAACTGGAATTCTGGAACATAGCTGGTCACCTTTCTGACATACCATCTGCCAGATCGAAATGTTTCTGTCTGTGCTTTTAATGCTGCCCTTTCCATGGAATTCAACCATTTAGAAATATTGAATGCTATTTATTATTCCTGCTTTCATTTTACTTTCAGAGGTGATCCTGGTCAGTGGGAAAGCAGAGGGTGGCAGCCTGTGCTGGATGGGGAGCGAGATCTTCTGGATCCAGGCTACAGAGGCCTCCACAAGGAAAAAGATTTCTGGAGATTTCTCGAAATGAGATCTCTCCAGGTAGGGATCCCTTATCCACTTGGGCACAGATTGTGACTGATATTTCTAACCTGCCACTCTTTATAGAAGTGGCCAGACCCTCAAAGAAGGTCACAACCAATTAATCTCAAATAATCCAAGACCCACCAGTCAGCCTCAGAGCTGTTCTGCAATGCGGGCTGTTTATCGTGGATTGGCACCATTCCCCTCAAGGCCAACCAGGCCAAAATCACCATCTGCCCCAAACGGTGGCCTTTTCTGTTCTCGTCACCCCTTGTCTCTATCACAGCCATCCTATTATTTCCCCTTTATCGACTCCAACACTGGCCTTTCCAATCTAAGGCACTACACATTTTAAGCAGTCCATTTTCTGCTCTGGTGTTGATTTCTGGGTGAGACCCTTTTTTCAAGATCGTAGTTAATTTCCTGACTGCTGAAATAGTTTCTTATCTTTCTACTCAGAAGAGAAAATGTTGCATTTCCAGGATAAAGTAGAAGCCCCCTCTGCCTGTTACAAATCCATTTCTTGATTAATATGGCTAATTAAAATAATAGTCCCTCCTTTTCACTGTTCATAGCAAAACCGGCATACTTTGTGCAGAAAGTGAACAAGGATGTTGATGTCAAGGCTTTATTGAAATGGCAGGCATCCAACCTCCAGTCTAATTCTTACTAAGTCTATCCTACCAATCTTAAAGAATAAAATATAGAAAAATTCACAACCTAAGAAAAGGGCACTATTTAATTTCTAAAAAAGCATTTCCCAACATTAAAAAAAGCCACCACAGATAGGTTACAGATTGTATTCTAATTAGCTTATAAATACTCAAATACACACTGATAGGCGGCATTGCGTAACTTCTTCAAGAATTACTTTCAGTCAGAATAATTAAATTTCAATCCAAATGACATTCCCAATAAAATCCTCACCAGAAAAAGGCAGCTCTCCAACAAAATATTTAATTTTGCCCATCGAGATAAACAGTTTTGCTACTCCTGAAAGAAGAAAAGTCACAACGCTGTTCTTCTAGCTGACATATTCAAAGAGTTGTTTCTCTAAAGTTTCAATAAGGTTGCCACTGGAACAGTGGGCTCTTTCCACATTCCACATAGCTGAAGTAGTTTTGGCCTTGGATGTGTTCTTCCCTATAAAGGCCACCACTGTAGGAGCAGCTCCTTTCACAATCCAAGTGTGATGATATTGAAGGACAATGGGACTTGTAGAAAATGGAGTCAGTCAGGTCTCAAAGTGAAAGGAAGGCATGGGAATGTGGAAAAGGCCGAGAGGCTCACTTCCTTAATTTACAGCCAGGCTGGTAGAGAGTGAATCCTGATGAGAGGCAAGGTCGAAGAGGCCCAGGGCGGAAGACCCAAAAAATTCCCAACTAATTGGAACGGAGATAACACACCTGCGGCTGAGGCAGAGGGAGCACTTACGCCTCTCTTGAGTTAATTGGTTTACAGCCATGAAGGAGGAGGTCCAAGTGACAGGATTTGGGCTAAACCTGGTGAAATTGTTAAATGCAGTTTTGCACCATGACAGTAAGTACTGTAAGGATCAGAGCTAAAAAGAGAAGCTAAGCATGAGTTTGTTCAGCTGAGCTGAATTGTACCAGCAGTATGAACATCCCAGGATTGGCTATCCCTGAGATATAGCAGGGAGACCAAGCAGACACAATTCTGTGGGTTGTTGTGGGTGTTGCTGTTGGTCGTGGAGTGCTGTCCTCTTGGAGATGTGCCTGAGAATCCTGTGGAAGCTGTATCTACATGCTTGGGAGTAGTGGAACTCTGGCAAACCGGACTGACTGCATGGTATATGACTATATGACTATTTACTGGACTCTGATTTGGATTTAAGCTCTGTACTCTCTGGAACTGCTGTGAATGACTATTGGAACTGGAACAAGGACTACGTTGTGTATATATCTGTACATATCCTGTAAATAATACAAGTATTCTGCTATCAAGACTGTTTGGTGCTTGTGTCTTCACATCACTGGGAAGCTCTGCTGGTTATCCCCTACTGGGGTTTGGCTAAATCCAGAAGAGTGGAAAAGGCCATTGATTAGCTACCATAGAGAAGTCCTCTTTAAGTGAGCTCTTGTGAGTTCTATGGAATCACAAAGCCCATGTTGAAGTAATTGCAAAGTATTGAGTAAAGTGTTCTTTAAGAGTCAGGCTTGTTCAAGGCACATATGCTATGCACTGCTGAGGTTTGAGGACCTGGCTCAGTAGAAAGCAGTAGATTTGTTGCCTGTGGACCTCTGCCCGAATGCCCTATGCTGCTTAGGGAGACTTCAGCATCTCACCAAGTATTCATATGGTTTCTCCCCAGTGTGTGAATGTTTCATTTGACATGCAAACATTCGCTGGATGGTTTTGCTCCTGTGAATTTTTCAATGTCAACAACTCATGAATTTGGAGCTCTCCCCACATTCCATGCATTTCTGTGGCTTTTCCCCAGTGTGATGTGATGCGAGCAAAGGAGACTGCTGACACTGAGACCTTTTCCACATTCCATGCACTTCTATGCTTTCCATTCCATGTAACTTCTTTGATGTAAAGTAAGGCTATTACTCAGACTGAAGCTCTGTCCACATTCCATAAATTTCTATGGTTTCTCCCCAGTGTGAGTTCTTTGATGGAAAGTGAATTGAAGTCTCCAACTGAAGTTCTTTCCACATTCCATGCATTTATATGGTTTCTCCCCTGTATGAATTCTTAGATGTAAACTCAGCTGATTGCTACGTCTGAAGTTCTTTCCACATTCCATGCATTTATATGGTTTCTCCCCTGTATGAATTCTTAGATGTAAACTCAGCTGATTGCTACGTCTGAAGTTCTTTCCACATTCCATGCATTTATATGGTTTCTCCCCTGTATGAATTCTTAGATGTAAACTCAGCTGATTGCTACGTCTGAAGTTCTTTCCACATTCCATGCATTTATATGGTTTCTCCCCTGTATGAATTCTTAGATGTAAACTCAGCTGATTGCTACGTCTGAAGTTCTTTCCACATTCCATGCATTTATATGGTTTCTCCCCTGTATGAATTCTTAGATGTAAACTCAGCTGATTGCTACGTCTGAAGTTCTTTCCACATTCCATGCATTTATATGGTTTCTCCCCTGTGTGAGTTCTTTGATGTAAATTCAGTTCATCTCTCCGACTGAAGCTCTTCCCACATTCCATGCATTTATATGGTTTCGCCCCAGTATGAGTTCTTTCATGGGAAGTCAATTGAGTTCTCTGACTGAAACTCTTTCCACAATCCATGCATTTATATGGTTTCTCCCCTGTATGAATTCTTAGATGTAAACTCAGCTGATTGCTACGTCTGAAGTTCTTTCCACATTCCATGCATTTATATGGTTTCTCCCCTGTATGAATTCTTAGATGTAAACTCAGCTGATTGCTACGTCTGAAGTTCTTTCCACATTCCATGCATTTATATGGTTTCTCCCCTGTATGAATTCTTAGATGTAAACTCAGCTGATTGCTACGTCTGAAGTTCTTTCCACATTCCATGCATTTATATGGTTTCTCCCCTGTATGAATTCTTAGATGTAAACTCAGCTGATTGCTACGTCTGAAGTTCTTTCCACATTCCATGCATTTATATGGTTTCTCCCCAGTGTGAGTTCTTTGATGTCTATTCAGGGCACTGCTCTGACTGAAGCTCTTCCCACATTCCATGCATTTATATAATTTCTCCCCACTGTGACTTCTTTGATGGGAACTCAGGGTACTGCTGTGACTGAAGCTCTTCCCACATTCCATGCATTTATATGGTTTCTCCCCAGTGTGAGTTCTTTGATGGGAACTCAGGGTACTGCTCTGACTGAAGCTCTTTCCACATTCCATACATTTAAATGGTTTTTCCCCTGTGTGTATTCTTTGATGGGAATAGAGGCCACTTCTGTGACTGATACTCTTTCCACACTGTTGGCATTTGTATTGTTTCTCGACTTTCACCGGTTTTTCACTTGATGTACAATCACTCTGCATCGTGATGCTCTTTCCTTTTTCTATGAATTTATGTCCTTTTTTCTTCTTGAGTTTTTCATGCGATCAGAAGTGCATCAACATTAATAGCAGTAGAAGCTGGAGTTTTCTTTATTTCTCTTTTTTCTGTCTTCCCTTCTTCCCTTTTCATCCTTTTTCTTTGGTGCTCCACAGTTGGGTTTTGTTTTCAATGAAAGAATGACTGGCTCCATAGAATTCCCATTGTCCTCTTCATGACCTGAAGAAGAGAAGAAAAGAGATCAAAGAGGAGTGGAATTTAAAAAACAAAGACCTTACTTGCTTGGAGGAGTTCAAATCCTGAGGGCCAGATGAACTGCATCCAAGGATAATGAAGGAGCTGGCTGAAGACTTCCACAGAATAGCAAGGAAAGACAAGAGGTCCTTCTTAAATGAATAGTGCAAAGAAATATAGGAAAATAAGAGAAAGGGATAAACCAGAGATCTGTTCAAGAAAACTGGAGATATTAAAGTAAGCTTTTGTTCAAATATGGGGATGAAAAACCACTGGGCTAGTTAGGTATAAGCTAAACCAAATCCCTTATGAATACACAGTGGAAGTGAAGAACAGATTGAAGGAACTGGATTTGGTGGACAGAGTGCCTGAAGAACTTTGGATAGAGGCTCGTAACACTGTCCAGGAGGCAACAACAAAACCATCCCAAAGAAAAGGAAATTGTCACATACAGCACTGATGGTACCTGTCTGTCATGGGTTTGGAGGGAAAGTTCCATCCTATGGGGAGTGGAAGGCGGGACATCAGGGGGGAGGAGCTGTACTGTATATATATTTGGAGCTTGTGTGGAGAGTTAGGAGTTGGAGTCTGTGTGTCAGACTGGGTACAACTGTTGGTCAGTTAGTACATACCTGATAGGTTCAGGTTTCTTTCTAGGTAGCCAGAACTGATAGGTTCAGGGTCTGTGCGTTACCTTAAAGGGTTCAGTGGGAACCAATCTGTTATATGTGTATGTTTGGGGCTATGCCACGTTACATTATCCTATTTACCTGATTCTTTTATTTATCCTGTTTGTTATTTCAATAAACCTTGTTCTTTTATTTATTAAAATCCATTCCTGGTCTGTATGACTCCTTACAGGGAATGGTTGGTGGCAGCATAAGTACAGGGTGGCATACTCCAATAGGTCTGGGGTTGTCACAGAAATGCAAGTAAGCAAAGTGGCTGTCCAATGATGTCTTACAAATAGCAGAGAAGAGAAAGGAAACAAAATGCAAGGGAGACAGGGAAAGTTACTGAAAATTGAATGCAGACTAGCAGAATAGCAATGAGAGACAAGAGGGCCTTCTTAAACGAACAATGCGAAGAAATAGAAAAAATATAGAAAAGGAAAAACCAGAGATCTGTTCAAGAAAACGAGATATTAAAGGATCTTTTTGTGCAAAAATGAACATGATAAAGTACAAAAATGGGAGAGACCTCACAGAAGCAGAAGACATCAAGAAGAGGTGGCAAGAATACAGAGAGGAACTATACGAGAAAGATTTGGATATCCCGGCCAACCCAGATAGTGTGGCTGCTGACCTTGAGCCAGACATCCTGGAGAGTGAAGTCAAGTGGGCCTTAGAAAGCTTGTGTAACAACAAGGCCAGTGGATGTGATGGCATTCCAGTGGAACTATTTAAAATCTTATAAGATGACCTGTTAAGGTGCTACATTCAACATGCCAGCAAGTTTGGTAAACTCAACAGTGGCCAGAGGACTGGAAAAGATCAGTCTACATACCAATCCCAAAGAAGGGCAGTGCCAAAGAATGCTCCAACTACCGTACAATTGCACTCACTTCACACGCTAGCAAGGTTAGCTTCAACAGTATGTGGACCCAGTACTCCCAGAAGTGCAAGCTGGATTTCGAAGGGACAGAGGAACTCGAGACCAAATTGCTAAGCATGCGCTGGATTATGGAGAAAGCCAGAGAGTTACAGAAAAGCATCTACTTCTGCTTCATTGGCTATGCAAAAGCCTTTGACTGTGTGGACCACAGCAAACTATGGCAAGTTCTTAAAGAAATGGGAGTGCCTGACCATCTTAGCTATCTCCTGAGGAATCTATATTTCGGACAGGATATGGAACAACTGATTGGTTCAAAATTCAGAAAGGAGTAGAACAAAGCTATACATTGTCACCCTGCTTATTTAATTTATATGCAGAATACATCATGCGGAAGGCTGGACTGGATGAATCCCAAGACAGAATTAAGATTGCCAGAAGAAATATCAACAACCTCCGATGTGCACATGATACCACTCTGATGGCAGAAATTGAGGAGGAATTAAAGAACCTCTTAATGAGGGTGAAAGGCAAGCACAAAAAATGGTCAGAAACTCAACAGAAAAAAACCTCAAGATCATGGCCACTGGTCCCATCACCTCCTGGCAAACAGAAGGGATGATACAGAGACAATGACATATTTTATTTTCTTGGGCTCCATGATCACTGCAGATGGTGACATCAGCCAAAAAATTAAAAGACAGCTGCTTCTTGGTAGGAAAGCGATGACAAACCAACAGCATCTTAAAAAGCAGAGACATCACCTTGGCAACAAAGGTCCACATAGTCAATGGTATGGCTTTTCCAGCAGCAATGTATGGAAGTGAGAGCTGGACCATAAAGAAGGCTAACCTCTGAAGAATTGATACTTTTGAATTTTTGGTGCTGGAGGAGAATCTTTTTTTTTAATTTTTTAATTTTATTTTCAAAACTATTGGGTAATGGGGAAGGAATACAAAAGGCAAAGGGCAGTGGGGGGGATGGAAAAAGGGTTTTGAGAATAAGAAAACATCAAATGCATAATCATTCAATCTTACATATCAAGTATATAAACATCTAATCTATTCATGTTCCAATAAAGGTTCATCTTTCTTCTTCTTTTTCTTCTTCTTCTTTTGACTATTT